TGACAAGTCTAGAGGAAAGTTCCGTACAGAAGTCAGCTGCAGGTTGGGTACGGGACCCGGACAACTGTAATGGACAGGATCAACACGTACCATGCTAGCTACCATATCACTGTTGAATGAATGTATCAAAATCTAAAGAGATACGCCCATTTATTGAGACACCTGGTTATGGATAGCTCGAATATATATATAGGAGTATGTTTCATGGAATAATTTTCACTCCTCAAATTGTCTCAAGAAAATAATTGTCATGTTGTGAATTACAACTATTATAGTTGATTAGGCAAATATATCCAAATATACGATCTAGAGAAATATAGCACATTAGATACATCACACATGACAAGAAGACATCGTTCACAAATAACAACTAGTGAGATCGATATGGTATAAGTATATGTGAATTATATAACATATCATATATCTGATAAGAGGGGGTGTTACTCATAATCAATATATACACGCATCTCAAAATGTAAGCGGTAGAAACGCAGTGAATGATTGATCTAGCAAAGGATAAGATATTCGGCATTAAATGTCGGTACAACCGTACAAAAAGAAGCCGGTTGAGAAGGAAAATCAAAGAATCATAGCAACACTCACATGTTATCAGGGCCTACAAAGGATTTGATCGATTTTCATGGCTTATAAGCATCACAGGATCATCCCACAGCCAGTTCACTATAGTCTCTCTCTAGAGATCTGAATGAATTGTTTTGTAGGGCATGTACCAGTGTACGTAGTACTTGATTGAAAATGAAAATAAATGCATGGGGAGGGCAGGCCACTCTATATTTAGGGTTAGGGCTCCACCCGATATGACAGTCTATCCATATATGATTAATTGGGTGCAAATTGAAGTCCTAGGAGAAGATCACAGGATCCATCCATCCATGTCCATCCTCACCCAAAAACAAGAAAACAAACAAATATCTTTTTGCATTCAGCACAATTAGAAAAGGAAAATGCTTTGAGGGAGTGGTTAATTTGATGTAATGTTTAAAAGTGGTGTTGGGTTTAGGAGAATTTGAAACTTTGAAAACGACTCTAAGAAAAAGAGTGAAAATTTGAATGAAACATGGCGCTTTAGAAAGACTGGCTAGTATTTCCATAAGTAAAGGGAGACAATGAGAAAGAAAGGGGATGAGGTTTCAATTTAAAGCATTATTATTGTGAGTAGCCTAAGTTTTTTTTTAAGAAGATTCACTATTATATCCGATATAGGAGCTCAAAGGATTTTATTTATTAATAAATTACAAAACTGTTATCGATTTCTTAAAACAAGTCCAATCCCAAAACCTCATTAAAAAAAACCCAAAATACTCAATAGCCATCAAAGTAATTTAATAATAAAAATTAAATTCAATAGGGTCAGTTGTCATTTTTTGAATTTTTTTTATATAGAAATTAAACGATATAGAATTTATGTAATTTTAGTGCTAAGAATAGACATATGACTAAATATCTCTTCTTCTTTTTTTTATCGGTCAAGTGCTTCCCATTCCTTCCATAAATATTTGAACCCAAGATGATATTCTATATGTTTTCGATATGCCAGAGAGGTAAGGTACCACGGACACACTTCGATACAATATGATAAGATTATATTTATGGGGGTTCAATCATTTAGCTTCTCTCCTTATTCTTATTGAAATTTTTAAGCAGTAGTAGGTGACATTCATTAAAGTATGCGGCTATGGAGTAAATCAAACATTTTACTGACTTAGTAAAATTGTGAACATAAGCTGCTTTACGTTATCTGTATTATAAACCTTAAACCAAATCCTAAATTTTTTTATGCAATGATAAACCCTAATCGAAATCGTAAAATCACCACCCTCATAATACCAATAAAAGAAACTCAAGTCAAATAAGCCATTAGATCGGGCCAATTGACAAGAGTAGGAGAAAAAGAGAGTTAATTAAGCTCGATTGAAGGTTCAATTCCCTTTCATTGTAACAAAAGATTTAGAATGATGCCGGTAAATCTTTTAAGTTTTCTTTTAGAATTCACTGATTATGTACGTCAAATTTGAATGTAAGAGGCCGTTGGTTTTTTTTTTTGGTCATATGCAAAAAGGAGGTACCTTACGTCACTGTAATTATAGAAAGGTCGGAAGCCTTAAAAGTATAGAAATGTAGAGAATAATCTTTTACCTTCCAAAGGGTCGATCCGTTCGACTCCTAGACTGTCCTTTTGGTCAACTACCTCTTCAAAAAAACGCCAAAACAGCAAAAGCCCAAGAATATTTTCTACCATACACCAAATCCATACAAACTCTTCTTTTTTTTTCAAAGAATTGTGGCGGTATCATAGCTCCCTCCAACAAGCCACAACAACAACAGCATCTTTTATTTTCCTGAATAATAAAAATTAATTTTTTTAAAAAATATATATATATAAAAAAAACTTGGTCGTATGGTAGTGGCAACCTAAGAATGTTCCAAGATGGTCACAAAAACATTCAATTAAAAAATAAATAAAACAAAAAAAAAAAAAAAAAAAAAAAAAAAGAAAAAAAAAGCTATCAGTCTCTCACCCCATCCCCTTCAAATTCTCACCCCTATAAAAGACCTCCTAGTGGCTAGCTACTCCCTACCCATCTTCATCCACTACTACTCCCTTTACCTAAATCTTCAGTACGTACGGTGGTCTTTTTTGCATTAAAGCTCCAAAAATGGCGGCTCTGTCCACATCCTCCCCCATGCTCAACATTGACTCAAACTCTCCCGACGTTGACAAGCTCTCCTACGAAATCTTCTCCATTCTCGAAAACAACTTCCTCTTCGGCTACAACAGCAACGGCAGCGGCGGCGCCAACGACAACCCAACAGCCCAAAACCTCCTCTCCGACCCCAAACCCACCAATCTCTCCACTCCCCTCCATCACATGCATTCTAGCAAACACTTCACAGGTAAGGTCCGCGTCCTCGCCATTGACGCCGCCGGCGCCACCGACGGCCTCCTCGCCGCCAACTCCCTCGCCCATCTCGAGTCATCTCTCCGCCGCAAGTCCGGCAATCCCAACGCCGCCATCTCCGACTTCTTCGATGTCGTTTCCGGGTCGGGCTCCGGCGGTATTCTCGCCGCTCTCCTCTTCACCCGGGGGTCTAAGGACGGGTCGACCCGACCCATGTTCACCGCTCAGGAGGCCCTCAACTTCCTCCTCGACAACCGCCGCAGGATCTTCAGGTCGTCGCCGGGGGGGATTTTCCGGCGGGTTTTCCGGCAGACGAGGGCGGAGAAGGAGAGGGAGAAGCTCTTCCGCAAGACGTTCGGCGACCAGCTGAGCCTCAAGGACACGCTGAAGTCGGTGCTGATTCCGTGCTACGACATGTCGTCCCGCGCGCCTTTCTTGTTTTCGCGGGCGGACGCGGTGGAGATGGACGGCTACGATTTCAAGATGAAGGACGTGTGCGCCGCCACGTCGGCGCAGCCGGCAGTGGAGGTGAGGTCGGTGGACGGGAGGACGAAGATCATGGCCGTCGATGGGGGGATCGCGATGAACAATCCGACGGCTGCGGCAATTACGCACGTGCTGAATAATAAGCAGGAGTTTCCGTTCTGCAATGGGGTTGAGGATCTGTTGGTTGTGTCTCTCGGAAATGGAGAGTCGGAGCTCGGAAATTTGTCCCCTTCTGGCTGCCTCAAAATCGCCGGTGAAGGAGCTTCCGACTTGGTAAGAATTCTGATTATTTTTATTTTAGGATGTTTAATTATTATGAGATTAAATGAATTTTACTCGACTAATTGAGAAATTCACTAGTGAAAAAAAAAATTAATATGGTTTATGATTTGCTAATTTAATATGGTTTTCTAAGGAAAAAAAATTTGATTTGGTTCATGATTCTTGTACTATATGTATGGTGGTTGGGGTGGCATGATAAAAGTGCCACCTAATTATTAATATAGAAAAAAAGAGAGGCCCTTTTGTGCAATATTTTTACTTTGGTGCTCAATTAATTCTATTTTCTTTTTATGAGTAGGTCAGCTAACTAATCATTTTTTTTCCCTTCTTCTGTAATTAAAGGTTGATCAAGCTGTTTCCATGGCGTTTGGACAATCTCGAGCAAGCAATTATGTCCGCGTGCAAGCCAACGGCATCATATCGAAAATGCATGGAGGTCTGCAAGCCTCAAACAAGAACAAGAAGAAGAAGATAGAGATGTTGGCCTTGACAGAGGAAATGTTGGCACAGAAAAATGTGGAGGCCGTACTATTCAAAGGCAAGAAAATGGTGGAGAGCACAAATGTGGAGAAGCTTGAGATGTTTGCTGGGGAGCTGATTAAGGAAGAAGAGAGGAGAAAAACTTGCTTCTTGCCAACTGTGGTTTTGAAGCAGACTTGTTCAACATCGCCTAGCAGAACATCATCTGCCACAACCCTATCAACCATGTCATCTTCATGTTAAATTAATTAGTCTTAATTACTACCTTAAGCATTCGCAGCCGGTCGGGATGATTGAGATTAAGCATCCGAGTCTGAGCTGAGCTGCTGAGTTTGAGAATTTGGGGTTGAAGTTTTATTTTGCTAGCTGATGATCATAAAGTGTATATTTATGGTAGAAGGGGGTTTGCAATGTGTATACGAGTTAAGTATGAAGGCAAGGCAAGTAGTGGCAAAGTGTAATCAATTGAAGATTGGAGTTTTTCTATAATATAATATAATATATATACATTTAATTTGGAATTGGACTTAGCTTCCTTTTGGTTTTGGTTGAGGGCTGGGGCTACATGTCAGAGATTTGAATATGTAATAGCAGTTGTTGGATGCATATTCTACTCATTCATGGAAACCCCATCACCTCTCACTTTATATTTTAAATGTGTTTAGGGAATCAAGTTAGTTCAATTGAAGCCTTGATGGGCAGATTGACTTAAAGAGAACCATAAATTTTGGAAAAAAGAAAAAGAAAAGAAGTAAACAAATATATTTCCATAATTTGGGCTACAAAAGCACTCTAGCGAATTGTATATTAGTGGTTCCGGTCTTTGTTTAGGGCTGGTGTTGTGGTGGTGTCGCAACTTGTGCCAGTTTTGGATGTTATTTTGCTCATTGGAGGAGGAGGGATTCGAACACATGACGTTAGGTACATATATGCCTACTCTTAACCACTTAGGCTAAAAATTCATTATGAATTAATGTTTTAGATGTTCTTTTATGCTTTATTACTAGTAGTACTAGTATATGCGGACATGGTGTTACAGTCACATCGAACAATTTCTTCATATATCGGATCTTTTCTTTTGTGTGTGTGTGTGTTTGTTTGGATTGGGGGATTGGGCTGCATATTCTGGTTTGCTGGCCCAATCTCAATTAAACCTAGTTTGTTGGGCATCTTATATTCCTTTAGCTTTTGGGTTTCGTTCAGTGCTTTTGATTTAAAAAATGAAAACTAAATCTGGACTGACTTGAATTGAACAAAAGAACCCGAATTAGGTCGGTTCGGAGAAATCAAGGTACTTACGCCGACATTACTCTCCAGTCGATATAAATTCCACAAACTTTAAAAGAAACATAAGAGTTACAGAAGAGGTGGCAAGGAGAGAGGCCTCTGTGGGTACGCAATGTCACCTGCGGATGGTGATGTCTCAGAAAGCCTCTCTGATATTGACGATGCAGAGGTACGCAGATAATTATATATATGTTGCTCTTGCTTTTCTTGAGTTTGAATCGTGGTTGCCCATTTTTCTCAAGTTGATGAATAGAAGGTAGATACTCAAATTCCTCAATTATGATTTGAATTTAATCTACATATCAATGCTCTTGGAATTTCCTTTCATGGTTATTGTGAAAAGTTTTGTTCTTGGTTCTTGACAATCAACCACATTTTCTATGTTTTAAAATAAAGGGTAAAAATTAATGAAAGACAAAAGCAGTGATCCTGAAAAGGAAAGTTACCCCCTGCCCATTATCCATCAGCTTTCTTCAAGATCACTTCCATCATAGCCACTTGGTATATAGTGCTTGGTCTAGACTTATCTGTAAAGTACTGTCTTTTATTTGGATTTGTATATGATTGTTGCTTCAATTTTTTATTTTTGGAATTTTGACATGGAAGGCATGATGCTTATGGTTTGTAGGTTGTTGGCTACCTTAACAGCAAGCAGGCGGCACTGTTTAAAAGAATGATTTGGGAAGCAATGAACAAGGACTATGATAATGTAATGCCTTTGGAAATCCATAAATTTTATCATATGCGTATTCACAAGGATTTGGTGCAATGTTAGGGGCTTTCTTAGCTTCTGTTTGTTCCATGGTTTCTTCTTATTTGTTGTCTATATTTTTGGCTTTTGAGTTTTTAGCTTGAAAATTATTGAGGTTATGTAGTTAATCATGATTATCAGCCCCTGCATTATTTGCCTCTTCATTCTCCTTAGCTCTGTGATGGTGCAGGAATTCTTCACTTTTAAAACTGACCTCTTTTCTTGTATTTGAGTTTATGTTTGCTGCATGTCATATGTGCGTTGTGATCTGAAGCATAGGCTTGGAAGTCTCATCCAGCTTAGAGTTCTTGCCTAGTTCTGAGCTGTTATTGGAGTCACACACTGCATAACTGTGTTGAAATTTTTCACTTCAATCTTATTTGCTTTTGACTTATTTTTTGTTCTTTTGACCATCTGTGCTGCCAGCATTGAGTCTTATGTATTGATCTCTATATGCAACTATAAAATTGGCAGGGAAAGAGTAGAAAACGAGCCAGAATGGCCAAGAAAGCTGCTCCTGCTAAAAAGCCAGAAAGGGCTGTCAAAGTTTCTACTGTGATGGATACTAAGAATGTAAGTTAATAAACTGGTTTATGGGATTTTTGGTGCTTAAATTTTCCTGCAATGTTGATTGTCCTGCTTATAATTTATTTAACAGATACTATTGTGACATTTTGTTCTTGCAGAGGCTGAGTTCAAAAATCAACTATGAAGCTTTGGATAAATTAAATGAAGAGCTTGTAAGCATCTTTTATGTCTTATTTTAGAATCAATTTTGCTTTATTCATGCTTTGCAAATCCCATATTATGTTCTGTCAACATTCAAGGTCTCGTTAACTGATGCAGAGACTACAAGTGACTAAAAGCCAATCAAATCTAATGGCACATTTAATTTTGATTGTCAAATGATGTTACTTGTTCAATATATTTTTTGTTTTCTTAATGTCTGGTTAGTGGGCAGACACCAAATTTCTGTTTAATGGAATACAGGTATATACAAGTGTCACAAACCATGGCAAGATAGAACTTAATGCGTAAAAGAATGATCAATTGTGCAGGTTGTTTACTTATTGGGCAATTAATGGGAGACTTAAAAAAATAGGAAAATCTTTCATCTTTTTACATGGTTAATAGTTTTTTTTGCCATGCAATGTAGTTCCTAGTTAGAAATCCTGGTAGGTTTTAGAGAATAGAGGTGTCTTTCTGCGAGTAATTGCTAGAACCTTTTCTAATTTTTTTCCCCATGTGTAAAATCAGGGTTATGCACCTGCATTCGAAGAAGGCACAAAGTCTAATTGTGGCAGTCATGGTGATATGCAACTGTCAAATGAGAAGAACAGTTTTGAAGGCAGCCATGATGATGATTTTGAGCATGAAAGTAATGGATACAGTGAAGAGGCTGAAACCAGACAAGGCCATGATGATGATACATATGTTGCAAATGACGAATATAATGGATGCAACTATGATGACGAATACAATTACGACGAGGAATGCGATTTTGACGAATTATGACTCAAATAGTCAATTCTTTTTTCATGATTCAGTTGTATCATGTTACGATCAAAAGGTTAAGCAATTAAAACTTCTGGTTTTTTTATTTATAACTTTTTTGAATTGGTATCTGTTTGAGGAGCGATGCAATTGAGCATTGCTTGCATGTCAAACTATGTGAACTATAACCATGAGCACAAATTTGTAAATTGAAACACTGAATGGTTGGTTCCAAGCTGTTCACGCTTTATTTAGTGTAGAGAGAAGCACCAGTTTGACAACAATATTTCCCCAACATTGACAACACCAAAAGACATATCGATATTATATACAAGTCTGATGAAAATTTGATCATTGGTTTGTATCTCAAACTGTAAATTTATATAATTCATTTAAATTTATTCAATGTTGAAAAATCTTTACATAGGAACACAGACTGAATTGTCTCGGTTCCAACTTCCAAGCTATTTAGATTTTGCTAGTGAGAGCAAGGTACTTGGTATGACGGTCCTGAGCATTGTCTTCTTCTTCCTTAACACTGGCAACACCAACAGCCTTCTAAACTCGTAAAGCCTTGGCCTCAATCTCAACTTCCTCACCAGGGTAAGCATAGGCTCCACCATGCATGAAATTGCCTCCTTTTAGTAAATGAGGGGGAACTTTGAAGGAGCAAACAATACGACCGGGTTCGAGGAGATCAACTTTAATGCCTTTCATGATAAAGGACTCAAAGAACTTGTCTAGCAGCCCATCCATTGTCATTGCCATTTCACCTTCTTTCTCCAAGAACTTCTTCACTGACTTCATACTTGTTTCCTCATTTCTCCAGAAGCCTTAGCCATCAAAGAAACAACAGATAAAAGTGTCACATTCAACATCAAGGGTACTAATACCCTTAGCCCAAGCCATTTGCAAACCTCTAAGGAGACTCCATAACTCAGTCTATGAAGGAAACATGCATTTAAATTTAAACTCATGGATTTTAAGCTACAACATACATGAATCAAAACATTCAAAGAGGCGAAAGCGAATTTTAGATCTTATTAAGCCTAATGCTACCAAATTCCAAGTATCTTTCTAGGTCCAATCTCACTTATGCACAGAAGAAAAGAGAGGATGAGACTTTCTTATCCTTGAAGATCTCTTGGATGGTCTCGGAGTTTTCATCTTTGGAAAGACCTTCTTCCTTGTTGCTTGCTTCATGGAGTCTTCACAACGTACTTTGGTAGATACCTTGTAGTTCATACACATAAACGTAGTGTAAGAGGAGGTAAGGTGCTAGCCCTCTCCTCTTGATGGCTGGTCCTACCATGGTAGAGTGGAGATTTCTCTCATCTCCCACTCAAAAGTTGGATTCTTCAAACCCTAGAAAGAAAACGGTCTATGGCTTATATAAGCCAATACAAAAGATGAAGCAAACACTACTACAAAAAAGGAAAAAGACGACGGGAATTCACCGTCATGTAATCGGTTTTCAAATCGTCGTGAAATCGATCGACATCTATTTGGGTGTCAAACTACGACGGCTTTTCACCGTCGTTGTTTATCTGTAACGACGACGGTTTTGAAAGAAAATCATCGTTGTTTAGAGGTAAAGATCGTTAATTATAGGAGAAAAGACGACTGTTTTTAATAAAACCGTCGTGTATTGTATGTAAAGAGGACAATTTTTTATGAAAACAGTCATGGATTGTTTATAAAGACGACGGTTGTTTTTATAAAAACCGTCATCTTTACATTCAATAGACGACCTTTTAAAAAAAGGTAATCTTTACTTAACAATAGACGACCATTTTTAAACAAAACCGTCATCTTTACATATAATAGACGACCATTTTTAAAAAAAACCGTCATCTTTACTTCATAGACGACGGTTTTTATAAAAAGCGTCATCTTTACATATAATAGACGATGGTTTTTATAAAAAGCGTCATCTTTACATATAATAGACGACGTTTTTTATATATATATAAAGCGTCATCTTTACATATAATAGATGACGGTTTTTATAAAAAGCGTCATCTTTACATATAATAGACGATGGTTTGTATAAAAATCGTCATCTTTACATATAATAGACGATGTTTTTTATTTATAAAAAGCATCATCTTTACATATAATAGACGACTATTTTTTATAAAAATCGTCATCTTTACCTATAATAGACGACTATTTTTTTATAAAAACCGTTGTTAATTATCTGTAAAGACTATGATTTATTATAAAAACCGTCGTCTAATAAGTTTCCAAACTGCTACATTTTAGTTCTTTTTGATTTCCTATGATGCTATACAATGATTTTAACTAGAAAACCAACCATAATGCTTTATTAATGAATATATACACTCAAAAATAGTTTCTTTCATAAAACTTGAAGATTCAATAGTTATTACATAGTTAACCAATCTTTATTCTACAACAAACATAATTCCTAACAAGACCTACGTACTCCTAATCCAAGCATTCCTCATCCAAACATACAAATGATGCACAACTGAAGTCTCCTCCATCATCCCTGTAAATAAATCAAAATGACAAAGAGAGAAAAAAAAAAAGCTAAGATTATAAACATAAAAAATTAGGTGGAAGAGAAATTTTACCATTGGTCCATATTTCCATAGAAAACTTGTAAAATGAGCATGAAAAAGACCATCAGAACCTGCAACTTTTCAACAACAAAAAAACGTACGACTCACATAGAAAACTTGCAAAAGAAAAAGTTATAAATTTGCAAGCTTCCTCCTCATCTCCTGATAACCAAATCAGAAAATCTAAAAAGAAACCAGAAATATAAAAAAATATGTAAACAAACTAGACAAATCAAGAGAGACAAAATCTGAAATTAGGGAGACAAAGAACATACCAGAAACGCAAAGAGACTAATCTAGAATTCACTAGCAAGATATAGAAGGGTATTAAGAGAT